ATGGGCACAGAAACTGCATCACTCTAAAGGGTGCTAACGCTGTCCCCTTCATTTCACACCATCTCCCCAGCAGGATCAGTGACTGACCCAGTTCACTCCCAGAGCCCTCCTGCCCTGTACCAGGAGCTGGGGATGCAGAACCCCCTCTCCCATCCAGCACAGCCACCTGAGCCTCCTGCTCAGCATCTTCCCACAGGTTTAGGGAGCGCAGCAGGAACAGGCTGCATTTCACCTTCCTGGGCACAACCCCAAGACCTTCCTAAAATTAGAGTTAAATTCCACTGGAATCTGTACACAAAACTTCAGCAGACTCCCTGCTTGAGCTTAAATGCATCTATTGATCTTGTTGCAAGATCACAGCTCGAAAGTGGGATTTAACAAGACCTTCCTTCCCAACGCTGAGGAACCACAGTGATGCAGAAATCAGGAGGCTTTGGCACAGGCCATTTCTCTTACAGAACACAATTTATTTGGCATTTGGATGAAATGTTTCTCACAGCATCTTGAGAAGAAAAAAATCATTAGTGCCAACCCCAAGGAAAGAAGTCAAAACAAAAACCAGTGTCACAGGGACTGAATTATTATAGTATCAAATTTAAATCCTACATGGTATTTCATAGAATATCAAAATCTTTTATACACTGCCACAGTTAAGTCCAGTCACAAACCAGCTACACAGGAAAAGCCTGCGAATGCAGTGTTGGCTAGCACTGTTTTCCAGGAGAAGGTAAAAAGCAGTGTCTCATTCTCTCACAGCCTCCCAGGCATCCTCCAGCCCGTGCATGGCCACACATGCAGCCTGCAAGCACAGCATCTCCACTGGCATCGGCTCCAACCAGCTCCACGTTCAAGGTGCACAATACTGGCAAATTAAAGCTATGTCGTACCGTAGCAGGCAGGTAATGCAGGTTATTGTTAGGGGAAATCACAGAATGGTTTGGGGTAGAAAGGACCTTAAAGTTCATCTAATTCCAACACATCTTTGCTGCCACTAAAAGCATCTATTCCAAAAAGAAACCCCCATTTTATTTGGAACTGGGGGACATCAGAAGCAAACTTTGATTCATCTCCTCTACACTCATCTGCCCCAATTTTAGGGTCCAGCTCCCATTTAATTCTTTAAATTCTTTAAGATTTCCCATGCAAGGGAAATTTAAAAGACACTTCTGTACATTGCATGTTCCTTAGCCAGGGAGAACAAAGACATTTCAGCAACTGAAAAAAGAAGAGGTGCACATCACAGGTTGTATGAGGAAACATTAAAACACCAGTGCTTTGCCACTGAAAAGCCACATCTGAAAGATAAAAGCATCTGTAAAACCAGCTTCAAATTCATTTAACATTATTAGATGGGAAAAGAACAGTAATAACTACCGGTCACAACAACATTTTCTTCCTAAGTGAATCTCGAGGTACATGTGAACAGGCCATCACCATGGTACCTGTGGAGGCAGAGCCCGCCCACTGAGAGGTTAAGCCTTCAGAAAAACATTTCCCACCTACTTCACTCTTCTTCTAGATCATTGACCTGCCATGAACGGGCACAGGAACAGCCTGAGGCTCAAAACTAGACAAGACTGAACATTATGCAAGCAAGTTCTTTGTACACCTGAATGAGTTTTCATTTTCTAGCACGGAATGAAACCCACCGTCCTTCTATAACATTACAATAGTCTACAACTCATCTAGGAAAAAAATTAGAGACTGCTGCGAGACTGTGTAACGGGTATCACTGATAACACGGACAGAAGTGAATATCTAGGGCTGTTCTTGCTGGAACAGCAGAAACCTCAATATGGCACCACAGTACATGGTAAGGATAGGGAATCTGAAGAGCAGTTTTGTCCAAGGCCACAACAGGAGGTGCGAGCCCCGCGCAGAACTGAGAACTGTGACTTAACACAACCGCAGTTGAGCATATCCCATGAAAAATGCCCTTTCTGCTCACACGTGCTGCTGGGAACAATGTGGCAATGCCATCTCCCCCGCTGGCTCTGGAGGGACATTTGCGATGCATCAGTAGTTAAGAAAAAACATCCAGAGAAAGCGATCAGTGGTGGGGAAAACAAAACACAATGCACAGAATAACTCCAAAAGATCTCATCAATCCAATGGGGCAAGCAAAACGGAAAGGTCCTCCTTAGGCAAGCATCAGTTCTCTAATTGGTGCCCAGGACAAACAAACTGCTTACCAAGGGCAAGGAAGGTTCGTCCCCAGTTGGTCCAGAAGTCTGAGTAGTTGTGATGTCTTCTGCTACAAAGGCTCTTACTCCAAGAGAAAATACTCAGTGTAAAAAAGCTACATTAAAATGGGGATAAAAAACCAAAACAAAACAATTTTATTGCCAAATTAGAAGCTCACCGAGGTAAATGAGCTTTACTTAGTGAGCTGCTCTGTTCAAGGCAAAATTTCCCTTGGTTACAGTAAGATGAAAGAGGATAGGGGAAAAGACAAACAATAGCAGCCTCCATGCCAACATACAAGTGGGAAAGGCTCAGAAGCAATGGGGAAAATATCACACCAAGGCTTCTACAAAGAAGCCTCCATTTGGAATAGCTACAACCAGGAGCCACCGTGAAGTTGCCAGTTGTAACAGAGCTTATTTTCAAATAAAATTCATCACAGAATCAAAAGTAAAACAGAAAAACATCGAACAGATTCCCGCAGTGTTAGGAGAAGTGTGAGGTAAGGTATCCGTTCACCTCGGCCACAAAACACAGCTTCAGACACTAAACCAAGGCAAAAGGCCTTTCGTTATTGCGCTAGGATACTACAAAGAACAAATATATTCCATCTGGCTTCAAAAGAAACTGAAAGTTTTCTGTTTCCCACTGCTAACGAAGTATTTTTCAGGAACAGATTGTAGTAGCACAGACTTCGCATCCTACTTAAGTGTACGCTATCAGAGCCTGTACTACAACAGAGTGTAGCCAGCTTGAGAGAAGTATTAACCCTAAGAGCCTAGTTTATATCCCAGTGCTTACCTCCACCTAGGTGGACGCAGCACAAAGGTTACGATCTACAGTATGTATAGATATATATATATCACCACCCAGAAACACACACACGCACACACGCATTCGTACCTATAAAACTAAGGAAAAATCAGTACATACAATGTATAAAACGTATGAATGTGCTCAAAAACGCACAAAACCCGCTTTATTTCATACTTCAGAAATGCTCAGCGATTTGTATGCATGGTTCTGACTACTGCTATCCATCCATTTCATTAGACCAGGACTTGGACTTGGAAGAGACAGTAAGAGATCCCACAGGGTGGATAACTGCTCCTCTTGCTTCATACCACTGCTGTTAGAGCCAGTCAAAATGCGGGCGGTGGTACAGGTCCAGGCAGATGAGGCTTCCTAACAGTGCTTCCTCCCGCTCCAGTGCCAGCAGCGCACCCCAGGACTGTGATTCACACTCTCTGATGGATTCAAGATCATTAGCAAGTGTCTGAATGTCAAGACATCAAGATATGAACTCAATAACTCAGTTTTCTGTGCAAAAGGAGTTGAATTGTCAAGACCAATCCCCCAGGTACAGTATTAGCCTATAGGCAAGAAACAGAATAGAAAGTAGCAGCATATTCAATGGGGAAAGAGTCAGCTGCACTGGGAAACCACAACAGTGGGTTAGGATTTGTCATACAAGTATGATTCCTCATCATTACTAGAAAAATAGATCACACACACCCCCACGCAGTATTTTCTTCCTGTCCCTCTAGGCTTGTGCCCTTCATAAGGTAACAGAAGAACACAGGGGCATTCTCACAAATTCCTTATAACGCATCTCATCTGCTGACTGTTACAGTAAGTCAAGGAGAAGCAGAGGCAAGAGGAGGATGGGGTGAAAGGGTAAATTATTTGTGCACTGAAGTCCAAATTTAAACGTAAAACCACCTGTAAAGATTATTTTGTATTCACCATCAAAACCAACAGTGCTTGATGTTGGGTTTAGTGAGGGAGTGAATGAATCATTTTGCCATCTGTAAATTAAGGAGTTCAATCGAAGGGGGAAATTTAAGATGACATATCTGACTGAAGCAAACTGCTTTTAAAAATCATTTAAGTGCACTAACCTCATGATAATCCCTTGTGGGACCTGGATAAATGGTTTGGGGGACACATGGGAAATCCCTACAAGAGGGCTGGCAATTTCTGGGGCCCTGATAAGGAACACATGTCCAATTAGAATTAAACATCGTGCATAGTGCATGTTGACCACTGCTTTTCAATGTTATTTGTAGAAGTGTAAAGAAGTGAAAGGGAGGGAACACACATGCTAAACATAGCATGCAATAAGAAAAGCAAGAACAATGGTCTTTTATCCAGCCCCGTCTTGTGCAACTGTTCAGGAGTTAAACTACAAAGAAAAAACACCTCACTCTTCCTTATGGGGTTATAACAAACAGGGGCTTCATACAGTGAAGTCAGACTGCACCAAAATTGAGTGCTCCCCATCTTTTCCCTAAAGTACCGGCTAATACATATGAGGATTCTACTGAAGGGACACAAGCATTACACAGACCCAGTTTTGTTTATGGTCCAGAAGTTTACCCAACAACATCAGATTTTGCAGCTACCAACAACAAATAATTGTGATTGCAAATCCTAGTTTTCTCAGTACCCACTTGTCACACATTGTGTAGATCGCTGTTCTGAGACAGCAAGGCAGATCAAAACACGCAAATGTGTTATACTGTGTAACTCTTACTTGGTGGCCCTCAGTGTTCCCACTTTGTAAAACAAGCCCCAGCCCCTTCCCTTGCAGTTCTGTCTTCTCTGCCTTTTCCAAGTATAGCACTGAAGCAAGAGAGAAAGCAACTGATTGAGCAGTGACTGCCCCCACCCGCCTTTTCCATCGCCTATTTCCTGGGTCCAGTGGTATCCAGCCAAATCAAAGCAGCTTTTTTTCTGATGTAGATGTTGTTTCCTCTCACGTTAAGAAAAAAAAAAACCACAAAATAAAACCCCTACCCATACTTTTCACCTCCTTAGAAGTGAAAGGAATTCTCTGCACTCTTTTCCATAGCCAATGGAAGAAAAAGAGCAGTTATACAATCCATATTTACAGAACAAACCGATTAGTGAATGAGTAACGACAGCCAAAAAACGAGAGGCACAATCCTAAACTAGAACATAAAAGCAGTGTTCAAAAAACAAAGTGGAGATTCCTTCTGAAGTTCAAACCACGGATTAGTGTTTGTCTGTGCAAACAGTTGCTAAAACTCTCTCTGACTGGTGATCAGCTTTTTTCTCCTCTATACAATGGTGTTGAGAGAACAGTGGCTGTGACAGCTGCCTGTAAGAGTTTCTGCTGGAGTGTTTTCATTTAGCACTGTGTCAGGAGGGACAAGAAAGGTGCTGCTGTCAGCAGAGTCTTCCAGCTCCACTGGAGAAGGACCAACTGAGGGAGGAAGCGATCCCTCTGTAAGCTGCGGGGATGCATCACAGTTTCCTAGTGATGGAGGACTGCTTTGCACAGTCTGAGAAAGAACTCCATCTGCAAAAGGCAAAAAGCAAGCAGAATCAGAATGTGCGGTATATCATTTCACATTCCCAAATAGATTTACTATCTGTATTTCTAGAAGCTCTGAGTTTTTCCTCAGTTTTGCATTAATGCACAAAGAGATGACATTGCAAAAGAGGAATACTGGGTAGCAAAAATAAAACTTTGATACATAAATAAGATACTTGCACTAATCAGGCTCACTTATCTTGTGAGATATGCTGCTATAAAAATCCCAAATTGGAATGGTTTCTACAGTATGTGACTAGCACAGCTGCAAAAACTGAAGAGTGCTGGGTGAATCATTAGAAAGTGGTATTTTTGGTCAATTTTTGGGGGGTGTGGGTGGGGGAAGTGGGGAAGAGAGAAGACGCCGGATAGATTTTGTTCAAGATCTCTTGTACTTGACATTTCGTCTACTTTTTAATAGCAATCTCTGTAGACCTATCTCCAGAAGATCAGAGAAGGTACCAGAACAGGGGAAACTAGGTAACCAGGTAACCCATCCAAGGTAAGGCTTGAGAATAGGTAAGGTCAAAGTTAAACTATCGGCAGCAAGGACTCTACTTGAATTTAGGTGTTCCAAAGAACCTTTGGGAAAAAACAAGCTTAATGGTAAATTTTTAACAAAAGACTTTTCCATTGCATTAATAGATTTTACTATTAAATATATTTTCTCATCACAATCACTAAACCACATGATTATAGTTAATAAATAAATATATAAAATAAATCTACCCTCTAGCCAAAATGAAAAAGAGATACAAAAGAGAAGCTACTGCCTGCATACCTGGAGCAGAACAAAGGATGCTGTCTGGATTGACAGAAGCCTCGTATGGAGGAGGTGGGTCATCTGGATGTTGAATATCTGGATACTTGTAAGCAGTGTAGGGTGGAGGTGGATCATGGAAATGAAATGCCCCACCTTCCCCATCATCTGAAAGATGCAGTGGAGTAAGGCCAGTTCCAAAACCATCAGGACCATAATCAAAACCAGGCATCCTGCGGCCCAAGTTAAAATGGTGCACTATTTCAAGAGAAGAAACAGTAGTAAGTGACTTTATCCCATGCTTTCTTCTTCAGGTTAAGGCAGATCTCAACACCTTTTTCCACTTTTTATACCCAAGACACTCATGTCTTCTGAAGACCTAAAAAGTCTACATAACCTATACAAGTAAACTCCCTGCTGTTACACAATGATATCCAGGCCCACCTGAACCCAGCCTGTTTGTCCTGCCTTACACCAGAATTTTAACCTAACCTCTCCAAACTAAGGCAACGCATAAAAGATATTTCACATTTGGATCACATAAAAAATACTTTTCCATTATAGTCTGGAGTTCAAGTCTGAACAACTTACCAAGACACACACACAGAGGCACAGTCAAGCAAGACCATCACACTTCTCACCTTTATGTGTGTCAATCTGTCAGTAATGAGCATGAGGCACAAGATAAGTGTTGATACACAATTTTTCTTGGAATGTGCAGTGGTTCAGAGAACCAAAATTTGCACAAATCATGACCAGTCCAGGCAGCCAGCACAGACCTACATCTGGGTACAACACTGACTAGAATCTACTACCAGACTTTCCCTGATGTTTTACACAGACTTTTATTTCTTTCCTTCTGCTCCCTTCATGCGGAAGCACAGACACTGCTTCAGTCAGGACTTATTACAGATACAGGCTACTTACAATTTGCTCCAATCAAAGACTCTATGCGCTCTCTCCGCCTCTGGCGTAGCCGGTGGACCATGAAAAGCAGCAGAGAGAGGATGAGGAAGGAGGAAATGCAGCTAACAATCAGACGCATTCCACCGGCCATTGAGTCGAACAAACTGTTGCCATCTGTTACAGAAAATATACAAGAAGCCTGTTATACTTCTGTTCAGGACTCATTTTTCTTGATGTTTTTCTGTCAGTAATGGAGAGAAATGTAGAGTGGAGATTCATTAGGCTGGTTTAACACTTCTCTTTTCAAAAATGGAAGAAAATTATGAATCATCAGGTGATTGATCTATTTATTGCAAGAAGATCTAAAGGTTTCTGAAAATATCTTGGCAAAAGGGACAAAATGTTGAAGGCTTCAGGTCTCTGAAAATGGGGAAAAGGAAAGGTTAGTGGCATTTTGCACATGCATTTGTCTCCCTGACATAGCTGATGATGTTATACTAAAGGAAACATCAAGCCTGGAAGCTATGGGAAAGGCCTGAGAACCGGTGTTATCTGCCCACTATTTCTAAATGACTTCCGGACATCTTACCTTTAACATTTCCAACACCAAAATCTCTAAACAATGTCATTGCCAAGATGTGGTCATCTAAATTCCATGTCATTGGTACACTGGTTAGCATCATTAAATGACAGGACCTAAAAATACCTTAAAAAGGTGACTCAACATGACAATCATCTTCCAGAATCAGAAGAGATTAAGGTCAACAGGAATTAAATTTTTCCCAGATCACACAGAAAGCAAGTGGCAGAACACGAAACAGACTCAGGAGCTCAGAACTTCTGAGAGCTGTACACCACTGCTAACCAGATCCACATTTGGAAGGCTGTTGTGAGCAAATTATTCCTGTTCTACCAGGGACAGACACGAAAGGTATTAATTTTTCACAATTCAACTGATCAGACTTGGTTATGCTTAAGTAGCATGTACACATACAGATACTCTACACAAAGAAAAATGACCTAAAAATTACTGTGCTGTGTTCTTTGCACCAATTTCCCCACTAAAGAGCTCTGAATGAGAAACACACCCAGGTTAGGTGTGGATAAGAAGCAGATGAAGCACTGACTTGCTACAAATGCTAGTAACAGAAAAATCCACCAAATTTATACATCGCTAAAGTACACTGCTAATAGGCTGGTATTTATTGTGGGAAGCATTCCTGGCAACAAGAAATGCATTTAATAGCGCACAGAGCTCAAATATTACACCCTCTCAAATCTGGCTGTGCAGTACAAAAGCCTCTGTGCTGTCAAATCTTTTAGCAACTCATTACTGTCAGAGCTTAAACCAATGCAGTCACACACCTACCAACCAACACACCCTCCTGAACACACAGGCCTGCTGTTGTTCCCCCTCCATTATAGGGCAACACTAACTTCATGAACATCGTAAATTAGTGCTATTAGCTGCCTTAAATGAAGTGACTTAAGTAAAACATACACACAGGCAATGTTGTAGGCAGAAAGTCTGACTTCCATATACTCTCCTTAGGCCAGCTACAACTGCAATTCATGGACCTTCTGGGGCATCTTGAGCCTCTATCACACTCCATTACACCATGAAAGCTCCTAATGTTCAACCTGGATAAACTACTGTCAGGTCAAATTAGATTAAAAAAAGTCAAAGACTCGGCTTGTACACAATCATCACAAAGATTTCCAACCCACATAAACAGAAATAGATTATTTCAGAAAGGTTGTTGTACACCCAATACAGTCATAATACCCTGTAACTGCATTAGCTGAGTCACTAGAAAAGTTTCTGCACTATCATCTCTTTCAAAGTGTTTTATTTATTTGATTATCTTCTCACAAATAGGAGTTGCAGGTCTATATAAACAAGAGCCACTACCACATCCATGGAGCAGCATAAAAGATTTTTCCCTGCTATTTATCTTCAAATAAATGACGAGAAGCATCTTTCAAGGGAGGATAGCTGTGATTGCTCAGCTTACTCCTACCACTGGAAAGTTTCCCTACTATCAATCCTTAAGCAATATTTGCTATCTACTTGTAATCACTGCTCACCCACTCACACTGTGGGAACTGATTACCTGCCAACCCAACAGCAGGATTTATTCCCCCCAGTCTCTCCTTGGGTGATTAATTTACTTACTGTTGATTAGTAAACTGTTTTCTTTCCTTTGCAACAGAGCTTAGGGAAGATATATGTAAAAGTTGGACAAAGATAAATACATGCTGATTAAAGAAAGTAATTCTTAATTTTGTCATCTGGAACAGCCATTTATAAACACCCAGAAGGAAAACTGAAATGCTTCATTTAAAAATTTCAGTGTTTATCACTAGCTGAAGTAACTTCATTATGAAGGAAGTTTGACAACTGCTTGATGATTCTTCAGCTCAGGCAAGAGTATAATGAAAGTCTCTTATTTAGCAACAGTACAGAAAGAAGAGCTTAAGGATCAGGAAGGATGTGGTGAAATACACTCTTCAAATCAGTATTCATGAAATAGTTAAGACTTACAGCAATAAGCAAGGATTAAAGAACACAGCACAAGGTTACCCCAGGTCATCTTATCCTGTCTGCTGGATGATGCTTTGCTGACACTGTTCCTCAAGATATAAAAAAAAGTGAAGACAAAGCCTAAAGTCTGCTGCTAAGAGTGGAAGGAAGACTCCTGTTTTTCCCCCCACTCTTTCACCGACCAACCTGCAACACTAGCTACATACACCTGTTAAAAGCTTAACCCTTAGAACAAATGTGAATGACAGCAAAGAGAAGCCAAAGGCCTTTAACAATTAACTTCTGTAGTTAGGACAAATAAAAAAGACTACAAATTTGGAAGCCAATAAACACCCCTTTTTTTGTAACAGGCTGAAAGAGAAGCCTGTAATGGGAAAAGTGAGTTGACTTTCCATGTTTTCCATACAGAGTGCAGAATAGTTTCTTAGTGCACTCACACAAGATTAGGCTCTTTTAAAATACTAGGAGATACCAGTGTTACAGAATGGCTGAGGTTGGAAGGGATGTGCTGAGATCATCTAGTCCAAACCCTGCTCAATCAACATCAGCTAGAGTAATTTGCCCAGGACAGAATCCAACCAGGCGTTAAATATCCCTGCAGACAGAGATTCCACAAGCAATCTGCTCCCGTACTTGACCACCCTCACAGTAAATTCCAAGTAGGATACATTTCTTTTTAGACATCTCTTTACAGAAAAATACTCCACCCCCCCTGAAATCTGCATTCCCAAATGAAGACTGAAGAACAGTTCAGAGCCAACTGAAGACTTTATTGATCCAAAACAAGAAGCTGCACCAAGATGCCAAATCCAATAAGCAAAGTTGCACATCTGGATTATTATCAAACCTCTATATAATTTATAAACTGCTTCCCGTGTGATCCTGCATGCGAACTTCCAGGCACATAAATCCTCATGTCCAGGGAAAGATGTTTAATTAGTGCTCAAGAGAAAAGTATTTTCTTTTCATGACAACTAAACGCAATAAAGGAACCATGCAAAAAGTGCTACCAAAAATCCTGAGTGCAGTGTCAACTTCCATACAGAAAATAAGCTACTGCTTCTCCTACACAAGTAGCATCAAGGATGACTAATTATTTCTAACCATAGTCTGAAATGTTCCGTTCCCCATGATTTAATATCTTTCCCCACAGGGAGTTTGTATCCAGCAATGTGGAGGCATGGAAAGGATGCATCATTTCAAACAATGTTATACCCAAAGATAACCAAGTTGAGTACTGAACTAATTTCTCTTGACAAAACTGTAGCAGTCAGCTCTTACCTGGGTCTAAGCATGTAAATTTGCAGCATTCCTTAGGGTCTTTTCGATACTGCTGACACCCCTGGGGCCGTTCACACAGAGCAGCCACACACATTTCAGGTTCACCGTTGTGACATGTGCAGCTCAAACAGGGATCATTCCCTTTTGGAGTGAAATAGTAGCCTTCATCGACAATGTTGTCTTTGATATCAACACAAGTCTGGCCTAGAACAGAAATGCACGTCAATATCCAAGTGCCTGTGAGCCTGCCAGACAGGAGTCCTGTTTATTCTGTTACATTAAGTGATTTGCAAACATAAGCAGACCATCAGTTAAAAGTCACACCTTCACATTAAAGCAACTTTGAAAAGACATCTCCAAGGAGTGAGGAAGATAATGGATAGTCTGGAGGCACAGAGGGATGACTTACTCAAAACTGACTAAGTGCGTTTTAAGTATTCAATGAAGTTAGCACGCTTTCAGGGATGACCAAAAAGGTCCTCTTTTGATCATCATTTGACAAAACACACATCTTTCAATATCAGATACCAAGATTTTATTACATCTCAGGTTAGACACGGTAATATCCTGTCTTCCTATTTTTCAATATTTCAGGTGCAAAGGCAGATAAAGGGCTGAATTATCCTCTCTTGCCATTCTGCAATTCTTTTTCCTGCTTTAAAGAAAAAGGAAACCAGAAAAACTTCAAGAACTGCAGTAAAAGTTTAACAAACTTCCTCCTTGAAAGAAGCACCATCAGAATCAGGTATCTTAAATGTTACCTGAAAATACTGCAAATACCTCTGTTGATATCAGGCCTTTTGGAGTAAAGAAATGCAAGATACAGAATGAAAGCTGTATTTTTTCCACTTTAAGTCAGTAGCTCCACTTGCTTTTTTCACCCCCTGGTTCTAATCATTGGCTGAAAAGAATTTAACGGGATTTGCTATATGCAAAATGAAACCAGAAATAAACATTCCTCATTTTCATGTGACAATTTAAGAGTGATATTTCCTACTAAGGCACTTTTTGTTTGCTTTCTAACTTTTTTTTCCATTCTAACTTTTTCTCCTCCAAGTATACTTTATTTTGGGGTGGATGCAGCTGCTCAACAGTAATCTTTTAGTGACAATCTGTACTGTGGCTGACAACTACACATTATAGTGTTCTTATTTATTTAAACCAAGCGGAAAACTAACTCCTACACTCTTTAAAATTCACTGGGCAAAAGGTAGGAAGGACAACTAATAAATGCCCCCATATTTGTTATATTTAAACAGACAACACAGTAAACACTAAACTAAAACCAACTTACTCCTTTTGCAAAGGAATGAAGATTTCTCGTAGCAGTTTTCAGCATACCAGCTGTGAAAACCATGGTGCCGAAGGGTAGGAAAATGGAAACACTGAAGCTGGGCACAAAGAACGTTTTCCTTTTCAGACATAGCCGTACCAAAGATAGGATCAGGGGGTAAAAATACTTCCAAAGAGCCTAGAACGAGATGCATTAGTGTAAGCAGCCTGTGGGTATGCAAAGCTTTGGAAAGGCTCTGTAACGTCACTCATTTCACACACACCAACTCTGCTACAAGGCTACTGTCCTCTAGCTTTAGCTTCCATTAGCAACATTCCTCCTTCCTTCGGGGAAAGGCAAAAGCGAGGAGGGAAGGGGTGACTCACAGAGAGAAGAGGCTGCTGTTTTCAAAGTACCGGGTAATTCTGTCATTCTGAACCAGCAGCAGTGATGTTCTTATATCCCTACAAGTGCCGCTTTCCAGGGTCCCATGGGGTTTGCCTACCAACAGTCATGCACCCTTCCAAACAACACCGAGTTTGGCCATGCTTTCAACTAGCGGAGTAATAACCTGTACCCATCTCGTACCTGGCACCCCTTAGATGTGTGTACATCTCTCGTGTGCTGCTCCCCCACATTTTATGCTGCTCACTCAGAGTGCAGAGCACTGCTACACAGAGAACAAGGCTCCAACGCTGCCTTTGCTGCTGCAGTAGTGGCATGGACTATGCGGTCCTTCCAACTCACGTAACTTAAGAGACTATTGTGATAGGCTGCATACAGGGCAAGCGGTGTTCTGGGCATTATACAACTTTTAAAATGTTATTTTTGACCAGTGACTTGCTTCACCATTAAATCTGCTGGTATGCAACGTTGCAGAGATTAATGGGCAACCACGACAGCAATTATCAAAATTAGCCTATGCTTTCAGAAGTTACTTTCCAAATCTGTGTGCTTAAACATCGATTTTATCAGCTCCTGTGGTTAGCATATTACAGTCTTCTCACATTACCGTCCTCTTCAAACACTTTTAGGTATGATGCTTATTTTTTTACAATGCAATTACGTTCTGCTATCAGTTTTTGAAGCTTTATCTTCTGCATCTCCCAATACTGGATTAAAATTTCCAAGATAGAAGAGCCTAAACCACTTTTCAAACATAGCAGGAATTCAGAGAAAGTCTCACTACGAGTCAATGAGTCTTAAGTTTTTCAGAAGCTACTGAATGCTACTAGGTACTGCTATGTACTTTATTTCATGTAGTACTCCTTTATTAAATAGAAAGCTTGCAAACAAAACAACAGATAGTATTGAGAAGGCTTAAATTTATATAATGCATCAAACTAAATAAAACTTGTGATAAAAGACAAATACTATTTCTTCTGTCATTTATGCTTCCCTGGTAGAAAACACTGTCAGCAGATGGCAGTGCAGTCAACCTTCTGAACACCAAAGAAAGGGCCTTTAAAAGGAGAATGCCTTTTTTTTTCCCCATATAGCCTTCCCAGGAGAAACCTACCTACATAAACAGATCTGTCCAGACCAGAAATCCCTGTTATGAGAAAAAAGTTGGACTTTCCTCCCTTCCTTACCCCTGCTGTCCAAAGACAGCTTCAGGTGCTTTGCTTTAAGGAATTAATGGAAATGATCCTGCCTCCACAAGAAGCAGCAGTTTCCTCTGAATACTGAGTCAACCCTCTTCACTTAAATGATGAAAGCAATATCGCTGGGCATGGCACCATGCAGGTTTCTATTACTTCTCACGTGTCAAAGTATTTTTCAAGACTCAATCGTTCAGCAAAATTCTGTTCAAAATTATGGATCTGTACCTAAGGGCCAGTTTTCCTTCCAGGTTTTCCATTACTGAAACTTGTATATGAGAGGAAAACTACTCCGATTATTTTTCAAATGCTATGCTGGAATTCAAGTGCTGATGCTTAAAAAAACCCTTTCCATTATCTAAACCAGTACAGCATTTAGAGATTCAATTCCACATGTAAGAGCAACTGATAAGGAATAGATTTAGATTGGATACTATGCAGAAATCTTTCTTGTGAGGGTGCTGAGGCACTGGCACAGGTTGCCCAGAGAAGCTGTGGCTGCCCCATCCCTGGCAGTGCTCCAGGCCAGGTTGGATGGGGCTTGGCAACCTGCTCCAGTGGAAGGTGTCCCTGCCCATGGCAGGGGTTTGAACTGGGAGAGCTTTAAGGTCTCTTTCAACCCAAACCATTCTGTGATTCTACGATATGACAACTTTAACTAATCCCTCAACTGAATTAATTAAAAACAAACATAACTGCATTTTCAGCAGAGGGAGCTGCTTGTTTTGTAACTAAACAAATTCAGTGATGCCTATCAGATTAATGCTCAGCTTTTCACATAAACTGGGATTTATTTTTGGTATTAGGTAAATTTTGTCTTGGTTTACATAAACTATCTGAAGTACTGTAAGGTGAAAAAAATCTGAGTAATTCCCCAAAATTCAAGATTGGGTTTGGTTGGGATTTTTTTTCTTTTTTGTCTGCATAAAAACTACCAATTTTTAAAAAGCTAAAACCTCAAGATATGCTCCTTGCACTAGTCTGTGCAAATACTAGAATCAGGAATCAGCAGTTTATCTAGATAAAGAACAAGGAACTACAGAGCAGCTTCCTTTTCTCAGCTTAATCAAGGGGAAAGCCCAAATAAACTGAAAACCAAGTTCTTTCCAAAAGGTACCAATGTGAAAACTATGAAACTTATTACACCTGAAAATAAGATGCTTGTCAAGTAATAAATTCTTTTGATGCAGTAGAGCAGAGCAGTTCCTCTTCACTATTTCAACACTATCACTGAAAGAAGTTAATTGTTCTTGCAAGTAATATTCATATTTGAGACAGTTTCCATGGGCAATTTAACCAAGTAATAACTGGGGAGGCCTACCTTTATAAGCTACTTCCCAGTGACCTTCTAGAGAGTGATTTCGATTGGTAATCACATACTGATATCCAACCCAGAACCTGAAAGAAATTGTGTTAGATTCTAAAGATAAAAGCCAAAAATCATACTAACAAGTTACACAGAATCTTCCAATGTCTTTATAGTTCAAAGCTAACTTTCAAAACATTGATGATTTTTTCCTAGCATTTCAGCCCACACATTAGCAATACTAATGTATTCATTAGTATAATATGATGTACTAATGTATGAATACTAATGTACTTCAGATACAGCTGAAGAATAAAGGGAAATACTTGATGGTTTTCTATGTTTACAAATGGTAATTCACCACGTATTTTATTTCCACTCATAAGCACTTTCTTCTGTTTTTATAGCAGCATTTCAGGATCTCAAACCCCAAAACCACACAAAAGCACCCAGAAGTCAAATATTCTATAAGCATACACAACTAATGTTAAGACTATTCCAGATCAAGCCATCTGACTCTGAAGAGACAGAGATACAGCATTACTGAACCGCTCCTGGTGATCTGTCACAACAGCCCATGAGACTGACAAATAACCCACAGGCAAAAGAAAGGAACTGTTTGTGGTGAACTAACAGTATGAAATATCTAAAGCCACAACATTCTTATAATTCAAAATGGCTTTTTACTTCACTCTCATCTCAAACTTGCAGTCTTTCATAGGACTTAAAGGAAACAGAAACTCTGTTGAGTTTTAAATAATTATTTCTACACAAGCCAGGGCAGCAATAAGTCATTGTAAAGTCAATCTTCTTTGTTGCAGTTCAAGAACACTAGTACATTGCTGAGACAGCCTGAAGATAAAAAGACTGCTGAATTGTAGCCTATCTCTGAATGTTAATTTAAACATAAAATACAGATGGCCACTGCCAGACTACCAACCAGCACACTCATACTGGGTAGTAACCTGAAGTCAATTTTACCATTAGATTTCGTAAGCAAACTGAACTACCAGCATTCACATTGCACAGAAACCATTCTCATGTAATACAAGATCTTTGTCCTTTCCTTCTTACTCACCTACGCTGGTCCTTCCTTACAAATGTTTTTTCTTCCAAGTCCCACTCCTGTGCCAGGATAAACCTTAGCTCCTGGTCTGCAGTGAAGGTGGCAAGGGATCCATTCACCCGCTGACATGTCTGCACAGCATCCCAGTAGTTCTCTCCATTTAAATACACTCTGTAACAGCTGGCTGTGCCCTCATAGTGGTGCCATCCTGTTGGGCACTTAACTAGGAAACATGAAGAATAGAAGGGAAACCATTCCCCCCAAATTAGGATCTTCAAGATAATGCATCCTTATCAGTTTATGACAATGCAATGCATAATCACCTGGGTGTGTACACACAACATACTGCATATACTTCATCTCACCAGGAGGAGATGCATGTATTACAGATCACAGAAGACATGCTTTACTATGGCTTTTGATAAAGGAAAATTGTTATGAATATATTTTAAAAGATGCAACTCCAAGTAATGTTTCAGTGCACTGTCACAGCCTTTAAAGCCTTTAATTAAGACCGATGATCTACTGTGGAAGATATTTCCCTGCACATCTTTGTAAAACCAATCAGTTCGATCAATCCAAGTCAAAACAAGCAGCAAGAAGCAGGAAGAAAAAAACAGAGGTGGTCAACTTAATGATTGTGTCTTTCTATTAGGTGGTTAGCAATACATCCAACGTGCTGTGAAGTTTTCAACCTACTTTTACAGACAGTCCCAGTAGTATTCACATAATCCTGCTCCCACAGTCAATAATTAAGGACAATGGGGGTTCTGGGGCAACTGTTGTTTGCTTTGGAAAAACATCACTGCAAACTGGATCTTTAGCAACAAGGTGACAGCGTGAACTGCTGTTTCTGCTTTCTTTCAATTAACTCAACTGAGGGAATATCCAACAAAAGCCTTGAGACATTTCTGGATGAAACAGGCCCAGGGACTTCTGACAAGCATTCCTGGGGGTGATGGGTAACCAATAGAGAGAACCACAGAGACAGGCAGATGAAATTTGAAACAGAAGGGAAATTATATTAGCACCTGCATTTGCAGTGTTAATTCTGCACAACACTTAAGAACTTCAAATACATAAACTGTTTTATGTTTGCTACATGCATTCAGAGTTCCTGATCCCAAGCCTCTTTATTCCCTTCAGAAACAGTGATCTTTATCATCAAATAGTGATATATAAACAGATTTGAAGCCCTTGAACTAAATATTTTTCTTTACCCTTCATTTATATGGGCTCATTTAAGATATACTGTTCACATCACTAAGAAGGGACAGAATACAGCAGCATCACTAAGATGGTATATAAAATATACAGAATATACATAGAATATACCAATATGTAAAATGCATAACATTTATATAAAAGAAGCATGCAAAAACCTTAAAAAGCAGTGCATGTTAAAAAAATCTGGTCAAAAAGCTATGCAAGAGTAAAATCTATTCATTTCCCCCTAAAAAAAAAAAAAAGTAGCCTAAATTGGTAAATTAATTAGCAGGAAGATGGCCCAGATTTCCCAGGCTGCAACTTACTGCTAAATCGGACAGGCTGCGCCATATTGACAGTGTGAAAGCGGGTTGTCTCTCCTCCTCTCCCTCGACTGTGCCTGGAGTCCACATTCTCCTTCCCATGGTAAGTTCGCTGGTCCCCTGTCAGTCCTGGGGACCAGAAGGCATAGTCAGTACTGGTGAAAGATGCAAGCAAAGGCAGATTTCATTTTATGAAATATATGAAATTATGGTTTTAATTCAAGACATATACAATAAGTAATGTAGGTAAACCAAGATGGTAAATCCCTGCTTGGCCATTTCACATGATACGTAACCAAAATACTCACAATTGAAAAGAGCCAACAAGCCATTACATGAGTCTCGCAGAGTAAGCAAAATGTTCTGGCAGATTCTCAACAGCCTGCAGTTATACACAGGACTTGACACTCATCATCTCAATTGCTGCAGCATACACATCATCCCCAGTGCATTTTATCTGTTCTTGTTTACAGAGCTACCTACACTCTACCTGCTTCATTTTGCAGTTGTGTGTTCAAGGATATAAGACAACTTTTCCAATACACTTTCCAACACATTCTCTGAGTACCAGCACAAAATTAAAACCACAAAAGGAAACCTATCTTCAGCCAGAAGAACAAGGTTTTTTATTCACTGTCAAGTTTCTAAAGGAAATGTTAGTTTGCTATTTCTGAAGCAGAACACATACACACCCTCAGCTCAGCGTCATGGCTTCTAACAAGTGCACATAACTTAGGAAGAACATAATGCACGATGTTATTCCAGAAAAAGGGCTGGGAGCTCCACATGCCTACCAGGAGTTCAGGTGGAGACACTGCAGGATGGGCTGTAGCCAGCAAAACTAGCAAGATCCTAGGAAAGCTGGCACAGTGGTGAGGAGAAACCTTTAAGAAAGATGGAGATGTGCACTGGGAAAGATTAACCTGGAAACAAGGGATTAACCTTAAAAAGAGAAAAATGAAGAACCCAAGAATGTAAGCATTAGAAATATCTGCTAGTACGTTATCTAATATTTCCAGATGTTATTAAAGTAATACAGTTAACCAGCACAAAGTGCTATTGCAGTCATCCATTTCTATATAAAGAGATCAGCTTATTTTCCTTTAAAGCTGATTAGCTCTATTTAGCCTAGCTAAACCAAATAAACCAGTCATGATCCCAAATAAAGAGGGGTTACACAGTCATCTTCAACAGGTTTAACTACATCCATTTGAAATATGTTCAAAACCATGTCAATAAAACTTTCCTTTTTCAGACTACCTTTAAAAAGCAAGTGGCCCACAGCAATTTCATGGTAATTTAAATCCAGAGTTGCAGACTGTTTGCTGTATTACCTGGGGGGAAAGAGCTCCAGAAGACTCACCATTAAACAGTGCACTTCTTGGAACAAATGTGAGCACAGATGAGCAAAAAGAATCACTAGCTAGAGCCTACGAACAGCAGAGTAGCTTTGCATTCATCTGGCTCGAGCATACCGAGTTTGCCCTGGGTTAATGGGATAAGCAAGGGATATTTAATTATCACGTTATCCTAGGAATTACATGTCTACAGAGATAGTCCATTAAGAAATGGCTGTGCATAATACACTCACGTGGCCTTACAGGAATAAAGTAGTAATTCTACTGTTCAGTATTAAAATATGTTATTTATCACAGGCAAGAAGTTAGTGCCAAGAAATTCAGTTAGTCTACATTTCAAAGGACACAAGATGGTAAAATAATTTGACAGTGAAGATGGCTGATTATTTTTTATTCTTTTAAAGACTAATCTAGTTTTAGAATTTGTTCTTAATCCTAATGGTTCAGTAGCAGTATTTACACTGTGATTTTCAGAGCAGTACTGACACTGAAAAGGCAAACCTTTAATTATAGCAAGACCTTAAAAATAACACTAATGCAGAACACTTTATCAAAGATGAACTGAGCTCAGCATGGAAAGCTCTATTTTCCCATGGCATTAAATGGTAACAACTAAACCCAAAGAACCAGTAACAACCAAACGCACAAAGAATTAGTTCCCTTTCAGAAGTGAGAGCAGATGCAACACCATATGGCTGACCCTCCATGGCTAAATAGAACGCCCACGAGGACTTAACAATCCACCTCCCCCGGGGAATAAAGCAGAAGTTCACAGGTTTTAACACGCGAGGTTAAGAAAGGGTTACTTGGGTTAGCATCTTAAAGTGACAGAATTTATGCCAGATGCTCTGAAAAACAGCTACACAGATCCCACATAGAGCAAGTTCAATCGGTCCTCACCCAGGAAGCAGGACACTCATTCTTTCCTCAGCATCTGCCCGTGTCAGCAGACTTGCTGCTGAAACCAGGCAGGACTGAAGAGGCAGAAAGCAGCCACCACAAGTCACTTCTCCTTCAAGCCCAACACTGTCAGCTGCTTAATAAACTAGTGCTCTTCAAATATTAAACTGCTTCTATTTGACCTGAATTTTCAGTCTGAGAAAAGCAACAATGACATGTGTTTCCAGGGCAATAAAGAAAGATATGCTAACAAGCCTCTAAGTTACCTGACTGCCATGAAAAGCCACTGCAGACCCTGGTGGCAAAGGCATAATTGGACTGGTTTTCTATTGTACTTTTTCAGCACTCTGCAGAAAAGTTTTCTATGTGCTCTGCTGTTCATGCTTCCTTCACAGAGGTGTTTTTATCTTTAAAGATAAATTAATAGTGCCACAGACAAAGCTTTAAGATAACAACCTAAGCCAGAAAATCACAACTAACCATATTTGAGTGTTTCAGCAAAGAAAAGCCATCATTTTTATTGCTTATGTGCATATTTAGTACTTTGAAAGCTATCAGATTTTGGAAGATCAGCTATTTTCCAAGCCCTTTATTCTTCAAGATACTATAACCAACATCAACAGCAATATTTTTACTAGCCAAGACAGAGTCCTGCTTCCTTTGACTTCGTACAATTACACCAGAAAAGAAATCTGATTGTCAGCTGGTGGGGAAAAGGGAAAAATGGTTTCAAGGAAAAATTCATGGGGTGCAAATTCCTTTTTTCTCCCCTCAAATACTACAGCACAATGGCCACAAGCATCCTCCAATCTGTTTCCACATGGATCAAGTCATGCTTCGTATTCACAGAACTCCTGTCAATGTACAGTTGCTATCTAATTCACTCTAGCATGACTACAGTCTAAGTATAGTGCTATACATCCAGAAAGTTGCCCAACACTGCTGATTCTGTGAGCATTTTCACTTGTTTAAAAGTTTAAGCTACTAATTCAGAATGGAAATCTGCCATGCTGAATGGCTCCTACTGCATTTCATATTGATAAACTTTCTCAGATCTGAATGAAAACAGTTCAACAATTATTCAGAACAAAAATTAAGAGACTGGAAGGGGAAAAATGCTTACATTTCTAACTAGCTTGTAGTTGCACAAGTGCTGTCACTGCAGCCTGCAAAACTCAGCCCACAGGCTCACAGAAAAAGCTTTGTGCTATGGTACAAGTTCTGCTGTTCCTGTTGGGAAGGTGGAAAAAACAGAAGGGGAAAAATGCAGTTAAGTTTGAAAGAAATATGAGCTTTGCCATTACTCATAGAGGGTGGAAGGAATTCAGTTAAGTTGTGCATACTCTGCCATGTGCACCCATGGAGATTACCCTGCTGCATTTATCCACAGGATCTCAGCAACGCTTTCTTTGCACATGGTATCTCATTAAGGGAAGCCAGGCACACAAGCAGAGCAGAAAGCGCCTTTTTTGTTCCCCTCAGCACCTCCATCATTCAGACCAAGTAAAAGGAAGAAAAAAAAGAGCCAAGTAGTGCAAATGAAACGTGAGCCAAAGAGCTGAGACCACACAAGAGCGAGAGCTGGCACCAGCTGAGACGGGAACAGGCTAGAACATACACGTGCCGAGCAGCACTGCATGGGGGAACAAAGAGGACGCCAAATGGAAAACTGTGTTTGGCGGAGCTGGAAGAGAAACTGCAATCTGCCACAAACACCAAGGTCTGCTTTGCACCAAGAAAAGGGCAGGCAGGCAGAAGACACTGACTGTAATAGAAAGAGATCCTTGAAGGGTGAGGACTCAAAGGGGGATATACTGGATTTTGGGGAGCTGAACTAGCTTCCAGAGCTACTGTGTCACGGATGACAAGTCACTCAAGACAAACCCTTCAAAAGGATGGATGCACTATGTCAAATTATGTCAAAATTAAACTGTGAAGCAGTCAGGTCTTGTCATATCTTATTTGTTCCAAGATTTGAGTTGCACCTGTTTAAACACGCAGATTCCCAAAACTTACATAGGAAGCCGCCCTGTCCCCTCAGCATCCAATACTTTGTCCAACACATTACCTACTACAGCTTGGAAAGCTTTTATTTCCATCTGATAATTTGAGAAGCAAGATAACTTCATGATAAAATCCAGTTCTGTGCCTAAAGATTTGGAAATACAGTTCAGAAGTCTCCAGAGAGGAGTGGTTCTTCTGAAATAAAGCATCTCCATGCTTTGCATTATCAATTGTTCTATGCTAGGAAATAGAAGCCAACCATGAACAGCATCCTGCTGTGCTGAGCCCTATTCAAAGTAATAGAACAACAGTAAAGTGCTCGTAATAATTTAAAGGTGCTCATAATAATTTAAAGTAGGGTAAAAAAGGGTGACTCACGTACGAGTTCAGAAAGGGTTCTGTAAAAGGTGTGGAAATTATCAAGTTTTTATCATTATTATCTAGCTTTTAAAAAAGAGATGTACTAAGAAGTGCACAAATGACAAGAGTCACTTTGACCAAACATAATAACCTTGGTGAAACAAAACACAAGGTTGTTTATGATGATTGCAAAACTGTGCTACGCTGCTGTTTTATGGTACCTGCCTTCAGTGGACTCCACAAAGGAGATTTTGCAGCCTCAAAGATGATGTAGTGTGTATGCGCTGGGGTAAAGTGACCTCCAAGTCTGCACATTTCTTCCTGATAGGGTATATGGGGAAGTCCTTAAGAACAGCATACAAGAGGACATTACTCAAGCTAAGCATTTATTGCTGGCTCCCCTGTAAGGCTGTTTCTGTATGAAATTAGGCTCCCAATCTCAACATAAAAACCATATAAAGTTGTACTGTTTCCCATGGAACTGCAGGGCAGCTCATACCACCAACTAGCCACTGCTTGCAACTGCTGGCCCAGGACCATGGCCACCAAGGTGGCCAGCTCTCCAGTGCTGATTCCGGCTTCAGGGAGGGAAAACCTGAAACTTCCCAGTGCTCCTGTTTCTGACCAAGCACGTCTAGAAAACAGTACTGAGAAATAACTTACACAAGAAGAATGTGGCATTAGGCAAGGGTGTGCACTACAGGACGAGCTGAAGGGTTTCCAATTCAGATGCTGGAAGAAACCCAAGCACAGCTGACACCACAATCTGATCACTTTTTCTTGGGAAGAATTCAACTTAAAACATAAATAAAAAGACAAAACAGACTGGCCACCAATATATTGCAAGCTGAATAACTGGTAGGCATAGCAATTACAACAGACACTGGAGTTTAAGACATCCATTTTTTTGTTCATACATAACAGAAAGCAAACATCAAGTCTAGCATAAGATTAAAACAGGTAAACAGCCAGAGATATACTCAACCCTGCTCCCCCTGTACTGCTGTACATGGGTTTTACCCAACAGGCCTGCAAAGATGATAGGATACTTGAAGAAGCTGATCTGATCTTCTGGTAGAAGCAAGGCTGGAAATCCCATGAGCAGTAACAACAGGCAAACTGCAGAGCCCTTCCTTCTTCAGGGTTGAAGTGCAGAACTTTTTAAATGCAGTGAAAAAGTTGTGTTACTCTTTTGAGTACTTGTATAGAAACATAAGAGAAAGTGAGTAGAGATAAGAAATCCCCATTTGTAAAAGTCCATATTAAAGAGATTAATGCCTGTTTCTTCCATGTCACAGAATACACCGCTTTGGGATAAATTATTTTTAGGATCAATTACTGTTGAGATGGAAGAGTACACAAATTTCCTAAGTCTCCACTGCTTAAGTGGAAGAGAGTTGCTCGCATATGCCACATAAACCCTCTCGGCAATTTTTAGTATGCTCACAAGAGCAGGCAGCCAAGAGTTTTAGTCTACCAGAGATGAACTGAGAGTAATCACTGCTGCAGATTCCCCTAACATTTGCTTGCCTAGTGGGAAGGGCAGGGGGAATAGCACTTCACACACTGCAAGTTTGGAACTGAAAGGAATTCCATGTTTTAAAAGAAGATGATAATTCTGAAGAGCCAGTAAGAATGAAAACAGTTATTATGACTACGTTCAGAGAAATACATGGCCTAGCAAAAATAGGCATTTCATACACTTATTTCAGATGGTCAATGAATTAATGTTGTACCTATTTGTGTTCTGAAAAAATGCCGTAAGAAATTATTCTAGCAAAAAAGGTCTTAGGGTTTGGGCTGCTTCCTTGTACTTCAGGCAACATGTGATTACCAAAATACTTTATTAATAAATTTATGATCCTCTGATTTTAATAGGAGCTTTGTTACTAATGTGAATGAATCAGACCTACAAAAGGTGAACTAAACCAACAGTGACAAAACTTACAATGTCTTTGTATTAAACCTTTGAAAACACCAACATGACAAGTAGTCATTGAAACACACCTTCATCACCACCACAAAACCCTAATTCACTGCCATTGATCTTTCAGAGCTCCTCATGGAGTGCGCCATTAGTAGCTCAAAGGCTGAAAAGTAACAAGCTTCCCAACCAGATTCAGAACCCTTTCTTGCAAGCTTTCTTTTCATGTTTCACAGAGATTTCATACCTTTTAATTTAAAGATACTTTAGTTCTTCGTGTTTCACAAGTCCAGGTGGCTTCATTAACTTGTTCTTTTAGTGTTCAGTCTGCCTTTATTGAAATTAAGAACCTTAATTAAAAAGTATTTAAATTTAGCTGAATCATCTCACAATTGCTCATCTAAATCCAAAGGTATTTTCTAAATTTAAAGCTGCATCATTTCTTGTTAATTCAGTGGGCAAAGAAGAAAGTTATCACTCCTGAGTATGATTATGTACTACTATTATTAATAGCATTAGCTCCCCGATCAACTTACCAGGACTTACTCTCTCCTATGACTAGCCACATATGTATTGCCTTCCCCAACATAAGAAAACCATGCTCTTCCAAACTTATTCTAGCCTCAGACTTTTTACTTCATGCTATTCCCCTTCATAATCCAGCCTGCCATTCACCTGCACACCAACATGCCAACCTGTCCTTATTCTTGACAGTTCTGAGTAACAGATGTCCTTCAACACCCATTTTGGGTCACAAAGCTGTCCCACCAATTTTTTTGTTACAGGTATAATAGAATTTTTGCATCCTACACCAGTAGTTCTTGTTCCTCTGGTTTGCTGGCTACGCTCCTTGCATTACTGTGCAAATACCCCAGTTCTTTCATAACCACCACACCCAGCTTTCTGGCTGTTTCACCAAGCACAGCCTTTTCAACAATTACTTATCCAATTACTCTTCTCATCAGGTGAAATACTTTCCTTCTCTGTGCTGTCCATCATTTTCTCCCCTAGTATTCTTTATGTATGTTATTCTTGTCTTCCTGCATACAGACATGACAATGAATCAAATCTCTCCTACACATCTCCTTTCATTTCTTAAAGTTCTTCTTATCGTGTCAGGCCAGACAGCCCAGTGAGACGTACACCCCAAACACAAAAGCAAGGCCTATCTACTGAGAAATGTTACTTTCATAAAAATCCCTTTCCTAGCCATATACCAAACATTCTTTGTAACTCCAGTCCTTGAGTCAACATCATCCTGTTGCATCCCCCAGTAACAACTTAAATTGCTGATCAGTACACTAGGCAACAAGAGAAGATAAAAATACTGTTTTCTACTAATGTAAATGTTCCCATATTCCCGCAAGTGAAGCCTTCAGGGCTATTTGAGTAAATCCAAACATTACTTTGCTTTCCTCTAGCCACTGTCTTCCATTAACCTCCAGAATTTTACTAGGTCCATATTTTTTCACATTTTGCCAAAGTTAAAAAGGAGAGAAAATAACAGCACAACTATAAAGGCATTTTTCTTTAGGACATCCAGAATGTAAAGAATATCCTTTAACAAGATATCAATGGCACAGCTTATTTTTCAATGTCAGAAGAAACTACCAACAGCTTTTTCCCCCATGCTGTGAATACATACACTCACACAAACTAGGCAAGAGCTTTTTAGAAGAGAGCATTGAACACATTCTTTCAATTATTTGTGCCTAGCACACACTGGGGAGATGGCTAACTATAGCACAGCTTCAAAGTTTGCGTGTTAGATTTACTTCTCTAATTCCACTAGAAAACACGTATATTTAGAAGAGCTAGCTGCTGTAAAATACCAATGTTACTATTTTGTAGCACCTCTATAAAGTAGCCCAAAATTCAGAATGATGACAGACTGCATGCTGTGATGACAACTGAAAAGCTGATGTGATTCTCTCCCAAGCAAATTAAGTAGTTTAGTGGCAAATAACTTCTTACAACAGTTTTTGAATGTAATTTAGTAACACTGTAGAGAAAAGTTTTAAGACACACAATAAAAGAGATGCACTGGCCTGTTTGTGAAGAACAAATAAAGAGGTTCAAAATTATGATTACATATATTCACAATCAAAAACTTCTGTTTGCCTTTTTTAAGACATCTCAGTATCCAGTAGCTTTAGCAGAGCGCCACTGCTGCTGACAGGCTTCTGAAAGCATATGATCACGAAAGCTGATGAAGAGTTAATACACCAGCTTGTTTGGCAGAACAAAGTTCTCAAGCACAAGAAGCATAATCAGAATAGACAGCAATAAAACAAGCTCTCTACCTAAGTCCAACACTGTCACCCAGTTTGAGTGATATACACATTCAACCAAAACAGTAATTCTGAATTTAACCACAGGCCTATGTAGCATTTTCATTTAACCATGATTTTTAACTTGTCATGAAAGTCTCTTTTTAGACTACAAGCTCTCATCTCCAGGATACCTACTCAGGCTGTAAGAAAGGAAGCAAAAAAAAAAAGAAGAAAAAAAGAAGACAGTTCAGTTTGTTAATAACAGATACAGTTCCATCAATCACCACTATCAAAGAAAAATAAGCAAATGACCTTAAAGAGTCAGCATACTGCTGCAAAACAAGCTGACACAGGGATGAGCAGTATTCTCAGGTTTACCTACCTGGACAGTCAACTTCATCACTCTCATCCTCACAGGTGGGCCATCCATCACACTGCCAATTTGAAGGGATGCACTGGATGGTACCACTTTGACACGCAAACTGCCCTGAGGTGCAGCGGAGCTCTAGGAAAGAAGAATAAAGTTGTGCTTTGTTTGAAGTGTTATTTATTCTTGCAAGTTTTACGTGTATTAATCATCTATCACGTAACATATCACTGAATGTTAATGGACAAAACCTCTGGATAACTCAGCCTGTTAAAAAGCTGCTTTGTTTCTGACCAATTCCATGTGTTAAACTGTGTGGTTTTAACAGTCAGGAGGGCCAGCTTCCAATGCTTGGGAAATAATTCTCTTAAACATCCTTGGTAAAAACTTCCTGATAAGGACACCATGGGAGCAGCTATCACCACAGAGTTACCCATTTACTTCTTGTGAGGCACTGAGGACTGCTTATTCACTTTTCTCAGAAGCAAAGTTCAACAGAAATATGCTATGGTAGTTACGTGCTAGATCACATGATAAATTCAGACCCTTATTTCCATTCCAATGTACAGCAGGACCCACTAGACTTGTGCAAACGTCCAGCCTGATTCAGAGCCATTTCACAGACCTATTTGTAAAACAGTTTCTATAGCCATGAGTATGTTTTCACTTTCTAGCTTAAGCTCTTCTGTAGTGCTTTTCCATGCAAACATATCCTTCACAAGAAACCGTCAATATCTGCAAACATTTAGTTCCTGCTTCTGTAAGAGTACTGCCTACTTGCCATCATTATACTGTCAGACCTAATTAGCATTATAAAAAGTACAATTTTCTACATAGTTTTTTAATATAAATTCCATCTATCAAATGCCAACACCTAATAATACAGATTCGTTTTGTGTCCCTCAAAACATTTTCCATGAGAAAAGACATAATCTGGCTATACAAGTGAACAATGGCAGGTCTGCAGGTCCCCATTAGCATCCACAGGTTCACTTTTGCACCAGACCATCACTGCCCATCTTTCTTCTGGATGGTGGTTGTGAAAATTCCAAACCCAACGTTTTTGAGGAATTTTGCACATTCTCCTCTCAGTGAGCTACAATCATCCCAGATAAACCATGTCTAAAGAATGACCACCTTATGGGGGGGGGATTGTGAAAGGATCAAGTAAGTAACTGTTTGCAGGGAAGAATTACCACACTAGCATGTATTCTCTTGTCCACAGTATACAACCTAAAAGCAATTGTAATTGCAGTTATTACTTTCTTGAAACACACATTTAAGCTAAATCAAGACAGAGGTCACATTTAAGTGTTCAGACAACATGACCAGTCATAATAAAACCAGTCATCATGCACTCTCAATAAAAGCTGTACCTGTACACCTAGTAATTGGTATAGGATATTGATAATAGGCTTCTAATTTGATGTTAGACTAAAATCCAGCTCCAGTACTGGTTTCTCTGCACAGCACAGACCTGCTCTTCTAGAAAAATAAAAGCAGGCACATCCTCTTAGCAACCACCTACTCAGAGCAAACATCCAGGTCACAAAATGGCTAAGAACTCACACAGACCTGCCAGACTACTGACAGCCACAGCAAGACAAGAGTGTGCTCACCCAGTTAGAGTTTTACTCAGTCCAAAGAGCTAACAGGGAAAATAATACTCATAAAATAATCTACCACCTTAGGTCACAATAATTCCCTCTCCCTGAACAATAACTGAAGTTATTTTCTTTAGCCCAAAGAGAAAAGGGGGAATAAAACCTGTTATTCCCCCCCAATTACAGGAATAAAAGGTTAAGCTTCACTTGCCCAATGTAGCAGAAGAGGAAAATTTAGAATCTACCTCTAAATTGGAGTGGGGGGTTCCCACACCAAACACAACCAAACGCACACAAAACCTCCAGCTGAAATTGAAACTATTCAAATTTGAAGCTCACAGAAAGCAGCCAGTCTTCAGTAAATCATTGCAGCTTCTTTCACCACTTTTGTGCAATGTCAGCACGCAGTGGAAACTTAGAAAGTTCTATCACTGCAGTTCCAAGCACAGAATTTACACTGGAGACTGTGGTAAATATTTTAACACATGAAAGACTATTCTCAGCCCAGTTCCACTTCTCTACTGCTGCACCCCCCTGCAGTTACGGCAAAATTCAATTCAAAGTTCAATACTTTAGATAAACCCTTAATTTCTTTACTGCTTGATTGTAATGGAAGTCACGCACACATCCTTGCGAAGAAAGTTGTTCTGCAGCCCTCTGGTTTCAGAGGCAGCATCCACCAGGAAAGCACAAGTCAACATGCACATGGCAAAACCAGTATATTTTTGTCTCTACTATTTCATACACATTATTACTGTTTTATGCACAATTACATACAACTGGCTCAGATAAAAGGATGACTCCATCCCAATATTATGGGCATTAAAAAAATGCCAGTTACATGAGGTAATGTCATTACCTCCTGTGTCACAGACACTCCTCTCTGAAGAATGTGGATACATGGAAGAGTAGAAAATATTTCTATTAAAACATCGCTCAAACCAGCTGAACAATCGTTCCCAATGGAAACCATGCTATGTCAGATGCACTTATTATTTCAGACCAAGGAAACTATGTAATTCTATGGCAAAGGCAGGGGGGAAAAGTGACACTGAAGAAATACCGCAGAATTAAAATGCCCATTTTCTGCAAACACTGCTAGTAACAACTCCTGAGCTATCCTAAGCCACATGTTAATGAACTACATAAATCCTGTGCAGTTACCGAAAGAGTTTCATCTGAATTGTTTTGCTTTGACACGATGACTACTGTGGCTTAACACAAAGAGGAACAACATGCAATCATCGGAGAAATTCTAACTGCCCCTCTTACTTGTGCTCAGGGTGGGTTTGGACATAACTGATGGCCTCCTTCAGAACTGATGTTTAAGATCAGCAGTTTCAGAAACCTCCTGCCACTGATGGAGTGCAGGTTTTTCCACTAAGGCCCCACCATACCCATACTGGTGGCTGTCACCCAGACCACATACAGCAGTGGGTGGGAAGGTCAGCAGCGCAGGCAGCAGAGCGCCTGCCAACACCATCCTCTCAGCCCTGTGTGCACCGCACAGCCCTGCACACCAGGCTCATGACTCCCACAGCAGAGCACATCAGCTAGCCAGGGCAGGTGCCTTCAGAGGTAAAATACATACATAAAAATAGACGGAAGTCTACAATGAACATATTTGGCCAAAGAACAGAGAAATTTGGGAGAGGTGAGGATGCACAGAATAGGTGCTAGTCACTACAACCTTGTCAAGCACTTCATTTCAGTAGTCTATTGTTAAGTCAAACCAGCAGAAACATGAAAACATTTCAAGCCAGTCTCTCTGCCCTAACCATTCTATGATTGTACCACATTAAAAAAAGTGATGGCACCAGCAGCAGAACATGATTCATGAAGATGTATGAGCAGAGGTGAACAGCAGTACAACACAGTGTAACCATGCATCTTTCCTGAAATGCAAGTGATCACTTAGTGGATGGTCAGACTTTGCTCTTTCCAGGAGTGTGGTAAATAAAACAAGGCTCCTTTAGCCATACAAGATTCCAGTTCTTCAAAAGAACAGCAAAGTTCAAAAAGTACCAGTCCCCGTTTCGTTCCTAAAGCCAGTTATCCCGCACTGTTCATAGCTGTTGGTGGTAACTCACCAATAGCTGTGAGCAAAAGCAGACGAGGAAGAAAACATCTTAACCTTTCACCTCCTAGCAGCACTAAAACCACACATTTTCCACCAGCTGTTAAAGATAAAACACTTTGTATTTTCAAACTTGTTAGGAAATCTGTAATGGCACAAGTTCAGCTATAAGCCAGCAGCTGTGGGAGTAGAGGCACTGATACCACATTAGCTAACGGCATCAACAACTGCCTAGAAGTGAAAAAATGGAAATGCAACCACCTCCAGCATTCATGTACGACGTGACAAGTTACAGCAGCACTATTATGATTCACATAAGAGATTCTAACATAAAAGGCTTCTTTTTCTTTCAACGATCAGATGCAGCCTTAGCTCTGCTACAATACAAAATTTCATACACTGAAATTTCATTTTAAAGCAATTAAATTCATCTGGCATATGCTGGAAAGATGGGAGGCAAGTAAAACTTTGGAAATAGAAGCAGTTGTAGTTTTTGCACTACATGCAGTATAAATCTACAAAACATCACAAAGTTCAAGCAGTCTGAGAACACGAAAACACTTCAAGCGATGGTGTCATTATAGTCTCTTCACTTCAGCATCTCAAAGCACTTGTACAATGTTAACCCTCATCAACCTTGCCAACCACTGCATCCTTCTGCCGGTGGCTACAAGGAAGCACAGAAAAATTACACAGCCTGCCAAAGGCTACAGATAAGACTATGAGCAGAAGTCAGCTGTACTGACTGCTGCTTCCATGTTTTCATGACAACACTGTGTTTCTTGCCAAAAACCCAAGGAACCTGCTGGTTCACCAGCACACCCCTACCCGAAGGAATGTCTGCCTGTCAGAAGCATCAACAATTCACAACAACCCATTCTCTGGTAACACTCCACCTGATCACTCTAGCAACAGTTTATTAAGAGCTATGAATTGGCCAGAGAGGGCAAGAAACTCCTTAACTTTATATATAAAAAGAAGAAGGAAAACGGAAATCAGATTCAGACCATACACCAGCTCTACAAGCTTAATATATAGCCAAAGATAAAACTTACTGTCAAGTGAAGGCCAAAAAAACCAGTAGCAATTTGCTGGGACACATTATTAGGTAACATAATCTGCCACAAGCCACTCACCTGAAAGAAGTCTTGCCAAAGCTAGACATGGACCTGTAATTTGAAATTTGAAAGAAATCTCACAAAACAGCTGGAAGCTTAATTAATCCAGCACCGGAAATAACACGCAAGATTATAAATTCATTTAAAGTGTGCTGTACAAACAAGAAATCCTCATCATCATTTTTCTAAGTTAGTGATGAAACAGACAAGATTTTTCACTAATAGAGAAATTTAGGTTTCATACAAGGGAAAAAAAAACCTAAGTTTAGGTTGCTGCTTAGATCCTTACAGAAAGCTTTTCTTCCAGACATTTTCCCAATTACATGTTGAATGCCAGGTGTTTCACAGCACTCATCACGTATTTCAACACAGGGCTCAACCAGCTTTTTAAGCTTTCTTTAGAGCATGCTAATTTCCAGATTTTCTGCTAAGCACTCAAAACAGACATTTACTAGAAGCATTTTCCACAGGAAGGACTTCATGACAGATGCATAAAATACACACACTCCCCCTGCTTTAATTTCCAGCCAGCTTCACATGTTTCATAAAACAAACACATTTTTGCCATTATAAACCGATCCAGGAAGCCCTTTCAGGTTTAATCATCTCTTGTAATCTTTCCATGTAATTGAGAACATTTTCCTTCTGGAGCCTGAGCACTGGGAAGCCACAGTGCATCCTTCCTGCAGATGCACGCTTGGTCAGCACGCTGCCTGGGCATTACAGTACCTGCAACCTGCATTTTCTGCTTCATTTTAAGTCTTTCCGAGATGCATTTGTATTAGGACACCTCCTGCTTGCATTTACACTGGAACCAATTTCTTATTCACCTTCCACTTTCTCATTGCAGAAGATAAGGGATAATTAGTCACTCAAACTGTTTTATTTGAAAGAAAGGCAGGGAGGATCTATATCCAGCACCCGAGACTACTTTTCAACACAGTAAATCTCATTTTAGAGCTTCCCAATATCAAATCAATATTGTTACAGACACATGAAGCAAAGTGTTGATTCAATAGAAGTTCACCTTGCTAGTTCAGTTTCCTGAATGAATTTGATCAGTTGGCTTTGAAATAGCAAGCTTTGGATCAAATTAAGCTATTGTCTGTCTACATTAATTTTAAGTCAGATCAGCTACAGTTTGTCCCCTACATCCAGAAAGGCCGCATGCTCCAACTAATTCAGCAGAAATATAATTGTACTGAGCTGGTATCCATTAATGTGGAATTTGACCTCATAATAGTTGTCTGCCAATGAAGCTAAAACATTTACTGTTTTTAAATATTAGCTCTAATAGAAGATGTTTTCCTATATGCTGGGATTACACACATCTCCTCAGAGGCAAAGCAGCTCGTTTCAGCCCTGTGCAACCAGAAGCTGCCCTGTGAACATAGCTGGAACCTTCACTTCTGTACCGTAAGAAAAGCCTCGATTACCAACCAGAGTCACAGCTCTGATCATGAAAACCTGCACCAGGTCACACCACCACAGGGGTAGGAGAAGCTGGAGAGGTGAAAATAGCTCTTGGGAATGAGCAAAAACCAGCAAGCTCTAAAAATGTCTGCCAAGCGACAGAAACCAACTGCATATGGACCTCAAAAAGTACCCTTCTAGTCTAACAGCACCATTTACTCATCAAACACTTCTGCAAAGACAAGCTGGCGGGTAAATGAGAATGCCTTGATGCTATTTTCACAGGACTACTTATCCTCCTTCAGTTTAAGACAGAGATGTAAGAGTAACTCAGCCTGAAGAAATGCTACATCCAATAGAGATGCCAGAGGTCCTGTCTCAGGTACATATAATAAACATCGCCTGCACAGCATTAGGTGAACACAAAGTTTTCAAAATCCAAATTTCAACCTTGTATTTTCAAGAAACTGAAGCTTACCATTACAAGAACCAGTACAAAACTAAACAGTAAAAACCCAAATCTCTCCTAAAGCAGAAATGTTCTTAACTCTGATATGTAAACCACTAGCAGCACAAAAAACCCTGATGACTTGGCAATTCACAATTTAAGAGGTAGAGATGAAGAGCCAGAAGTCTAAATTAAAGGCTCCAAAATTATAAGTCTCAGTTCAGGAGAGTGCTTTGATACAGAGATTAAATTCAGTGACTGCAATCACTAATTATGAAAGTTTGAGTTCTTCTGCCTGCAATGACTAAATCTCTCTTTATTAAAGAGATTCACCAGTCAGCAAAGTCTGGTAGTTGAAGAAATTCTTTTGGTGGCTAAAACTGCAGATGCATGTTGGCTTCAGCATTTACACAGCAACCATAGATCTGAAACTATTTCAGCTTTTAGTACAAAGAAATGCCACTTTTCATTTGTCACACTAATTGTTTGTTCTTGTCTGCTGAGCTTCATTTGTATGGAAATTGAAATTTGATTAAATGCACAAACCCAGTATTTAATGTTATTCACTTAAAAGCTATTACTCTGAAATGCAAGTATTGGGAAAGATAACCTTAAAGTACATGGTTTGGGTTTGTATGTAAGGTTTTAATGAATAGTAGCAGTTTTGTGTGTACCTCACACGCAGTTCACTCATTTTGGTCACATTTCTCAAGGTTGGGTCCGCTACATCCCCTAGCATAATTTTTATCTACAGAGTGAAGGAAAACAAAGGACAAAAATACTTCCTGCTTTCTCAGTGTAAGTCATTCTTTGACCCCAAGCGGATGAACCATCTTGTAGAGAATCTCTGTTCTGATTTCAGAGACAATTACAGCTAACAAAAGCCAATTTAAGCATTAAGAAAAACTCAAACTACAAGTGTGTAGGCCAGTAACTCTTCTTATTCAGATTTTAGCTTGTCCAAAAGATCTTTCTTATATTAATATTACACCTACATACTTAAAGGCCTGTACCTACATGTTGCACTATTGTTTCACATTTAGCACATTTAAGTTAACTTAAAGTGAAAATTGCCTTTTTCTTAAATCATTGTTTCTATATAACCCAATCCATTCTAAACTGGATGAGCATGATCAGCTCCTAGCATCTTCAGCAAGGAGCCTAACCCCCTAAGTCCTCGGCTCCTGGAGATTTTGCTCAACAAATGCCTCAAAACGAGCATCAGAAACAACAACAAAAGGAACACCACGCCCATCACCATCACACAAACACATACACCTCCAGATCTAATATTTATGTTCAAGCGGAAGCATAACACAAACAGTATTTCTCTAGACTGGTATTTACTGAAGTAACAGAAACTTTAAAATATTCTTAATATTCCCAATACAACACCACCACAATGGTTTTATTCATTTAATACTCAGCAGATTCATGTAAAAACCCATCCTTAATCTAGTCCTCTGCACTTGAAAAGCAGCTTTCGTAACAAGGACTTGTCTCAAGTCCACAGGTGAAGCTCACCAGAGCAGGTACCATATCCCAAAACTCCTGAAAACCTGCCAGCTTGTGAAGAGCACTGCAGTCCTGCCCAGCCTCTGCTCATGGTGTCCATAGGTCAGCTGCTGAACAGTGTTCAGTGACAGAGAAGCTGACTGCCTGAGGATGTTCTGACACATCTTTAAGCAGGTTTTGGTTTTAACCTCTCTGTGAGGTATCACCAATCCCACGCAAAGGCGCTGCTCTCAGGCAAGTGGAGCTGTACCTAAATAGTATTTCCCCTCGGCTCCAGAAAGCAGAGTTTTCTCTATCTATTAATCTCCCACAGGTTTCTTTACGTCACTTGGTGCATCTTACTTCCATTACATGGTTTTAAATTTATCCTTACCTCACCCACCACCGCACTGAGTGCGGTGGAGTACATACAGTACTTGATAACAAAGCCACAGCAGGCAAAAAACTAACTGTGATACCACCACCTTATTTTCAGAGTGTTTGTGAAGTTCACAAATCACCATCAGACAATTATCCAGTCAACAGATGAATGTCATTAAAGTTTCTCAATAAAACTGGTTGTTCACTGTTCTTCAAATTAAAAGCCTATAGATTAATTAAAATTAAAAACCTACACAAGAACTAAAAAGCTACAGAAGAACAGAGCACTCCATTTTTGTATTCAGATACAATGTTCAGCCACTCATCTGTGCTACTGCAAATGTGCCTAAACACAATCCTTAGGTCATGTCACTCTGGTTCATCATGACCTGAGCCTGCACAGGAGGGTATGGAAACACAATGGCACATAGCACAAAGCCCAGGAAAATAAAAACTGGGCCCTGTGCTATACACACAGCCAAATACAACCCGCATCCATGCTCAAATTTAATTCCAGCTCCTGAAAATTAGAGACTCTGAAGTTATAATCCCATTTAGCAGGAACACATCAGCTCCAAAAATAGACAAATAATACATCTTAGAAGCATTGGCATTTTTTGCATAACCTCAGCATGCAGTGTCATGAAGCAACCAAACCTGTGACAGCGCTCCAGCTAAAAACTGTAAATCCTTAATGAATAACTCTAATGAACATTCTGTATTACTCAGTGTTCTGTCATAGCAAATTATGTTAGATGATCCTAACATCCATCAAAAGATTTTACAGCACAGTGAGGAACAGAAGCAGTCTCCTTTGCATTACCCCCTCGTATCTGTTCTCAGGGTACCCCGCTCCCTGAGCTGGAAGACAGGAAGCAGAATGAAGTTCCTCTAGACCAAGGGTGCATGATCAGTGACCTGCTACACCACTTAGACATACACAGGTCTATAGGGCCAGACGGGATCCACATGAAGGTACAGAGGCAGAAGTGCTCACCAAGCCACTTCCCACCATTTATCAGCAATCCTGGCTAATCAGGGAGGTACCAATTGACTGGAAGTTAGCAAATGCGACACCCATCTACACAAACGGCTTGAAGGAAGATCCAGGGCAATACAAGGCTGTCAGCCTGAACTTGGTGCTAGGGAAGCTTATAGAGCAGGTCTTCCAGAGTGCCATCACGCATCACGTGCAGGACAACCAGGTGATCAGGCCCAGTCAGCATGAGTCTGTGAAAGGCAGGTCCTGCTTGACTAACCCGATCTCCTTCTATGACAACGTGACCCGCTTAGTGGATGAGGGAAAGGCTGCGGA